TTACATTAGCAACAGATGGCTTGGCATATTTTTTTAAATTAGAGGAAAATATAATCTAAAATTTTGCACATTTTGGGGGGGGGGGAGGAGGCTGTGGTTTTGTTTTCAGAGCATCAATACTGAGGTCTGTAACAAGGGGACCTCTCTCACCCTTCTGTTATCTTCTGTGAAGAGGCAGCACTGTAACAGCGCCAGTAAACTAGCAGAAAATCTTGCAGTCATGAAGGGACAGGGGAACAGGCAGCACCCAAGCCAGAGAGATGAGGGGAGAAGGAAAGAAATTATGACTGGTGATACCCAGAAAGGGGAAGAGAAGCAGCAGGGCTTAGAACCCTTACATTGAAAAGCTGATCAGAATCAAGTTGTACAACATCATGAGTCTGGTCATGAGTCTACACAAAACTTGCAAAACATGTGTTCTGCAGTTGTTTTCCTCTTCTTCCAGTTTTGGTGAGCAAAGCTGTAGGAAGCCCTGTACCTCACTGTCAATTTTTACTCTGGACAAACGAGGTGTTTTGGGGGAGAAGGTGGAGGACTAATGTCAGCCATGGTCCTTGCAAACCTGTGTGACTCCGGAGCCTCCTCAGGGCTGCAGGAGCAGATAGCTCTGGCTCCTGGGTGAGTCTGTGGGCCATCAGGAAAAAGTAGAGGACAGTTTTAGGATGAAGTTCTTGCTGGTTCATACAGTTTGAGTGGGACCTCTCTCAAGGGAAGGGGCACAAGTGCATACGGAGAACACCCAAGATTTTCAAGCAGAGCCCTGGTCAGAAGCTGCGCGGCCGCTCAGTGGCCAGAAGACCACCTGCGCTTGAAAACAGAGGTCTTTCCCAGATTAATCAAATACATCTTTTGATTGAGATGTTGTTCTCTTGCTAGATTATTTTGACCCATGGATCTTTGCTGCAGTAAATCAGATGATGTGCCTACTAGTTCTTGCTTGGTATTTCTTAGCAAGCAAACATGGTATGGTGGGTGGATGCAAAGCTAGTTTACATTTTTACGCTAGTTTTACTCCTCTGTAAATCCTACTCAGTAATGACTAATTCCCAAGTTGATTCCCCTTTCCCGTTCGGCTTATTTTATTTTCACTACATTTTGGTACCTACTAGAATTTAACCATTTAGGGTCTCCCTGCTGTGATTTTTTAGATGCTGTGAGGTAAGGGCTGGCTATAGCCAACCCTCCCCTACTTCATGCATAGACTATTTTACATTTAGGTTCCAGGGCTGCCCCAAAGAAGCGCAGGAAGAAAATGCACAGAAAGAGCAAGTCGCAAAGTAAACTATGGCAAATGACTACAAGAAGTCAGACAAATAACCAAAACTAGATGCATCACTCAGAGATGTGCAATCACTCCAGATGCAGCAATACTTGGTCCATTCATTAAATTTCTCATAGGGGCAGAGGAGCTTGCACGGAGCAGGCTCTGTTCACCTCACCACAGGGCAAAAACTTGCCTATTCCTTTCTCCTGTTCACTTGAAGTGAAAAGTGGTGCAACCTCATGGTTTATGAGGAAGTGTTTTAGCTCTCCCTTATCCACAGTGGGGGCACCATGGGAAGGGGGACAGGGCTAATGCAGCTACTTCTGCTGATGCGTATCTAACATCTGACCCTGCAGCCTGTTCCTGTTCACCTGCTTCTTGTGAGCAAGAAGAAAAGAAGCCGCAGAGACCTGAGGCCAAGAAAGGGTTTGACTAGTAGTGCAGGACAGGAAGTTCACAGGATTTCCAGAGAAGCAGCTTTCATGATACTGCGCTGCCAACCAATTGTGGTTTTAATTATGAGTCTTTGATGTTTTTTTGCTGGGTTTTATGTTGGGACTCTTGTGCTTGGCATAGGATTGTTGAGGTTTTTTTCTTTTTTCTTTTTTCTTTTTTTTGGAACATGTCAGGATATGGGATATGTTTAATCATTTAAAACAGAGACATTTCTGACTGTCCTTAGTGTCTGTTGCAGAGGAGCTGAAGGGTTAGCTGGAAGGAACAGTCAGAAGCAAGGAGGGAACTGCTGTGGGGTATGACCAAGTGGCTCACCAAAAGTTGCTTGGTCCTTGTGCATAGTAAGAAAGTGGTAAGGGGGCAAGTAAAACTACAATAACCCTGCAAGGGCGAGGGAAGAGAGAATGGAGCAACTTTAGACTGGGTGCTTAGATATAGAAGAGCCTAGAAGGGATGAAAATATCATCTTGATTTAAAACAACTAAACAACTCACTAAAGAGGCATATTTTTTATAGCTGTTTTGAATTAATCTGCATTAAATACCCATGACTTTTCTCAGTGTGCCCAGGATCAATACAATTCTTTGACACTTGCGGGGCTAGGCCCATGAAGAAGGCAGGAAATCCATTTACCCAATTCCCCCTTACCAATGGCAGCCTTTCTCTGAAAAAAAGTGGTTTACTCAGGACAGCTGGCACTAACTTTTCTATATAAAATGTGGTGGAGGGAGATTATTTTCAAGTTCTGCCATCTTCCTGTCTTGTTATTAGCAAAATACGTTTCCAGAGTGAAGGGAGATTGGGCACCTGAGTTTCAGAGGATTTATGACTGTGAAGCAACATATGTTAATGTGAAGCTGAACAGCTTTCCATGCAACTTATTCTAGCCAAGCTATTAGTAACCCCTGATACACTATGATTCCTCACTAGTTACCTGCCAGCAATGAGCAAGTGACTTAATGTTATCAATTGTGTCCCTTTCCTCTCTCCTTCCCTCCCACCAAACATGCATCTGTTTATCATGAAAAATAATCTGCTTGGAAAATGTGGGATAAACAGTGAGTTTTGTAATAAAAATGGAATATTTTTGCAAATAATCTGTAAGTGTCGCAAAATAAAGTAGCATCCTATTATTTCCTCAGAGCATTTAGGCTCTGCAAAACTCCTAGGAAAAAAAAAAGGTAAGCTGGTCAGGACTCCTGGCTGGTAAATACAGGTAAAATGCACTAGAAGTACAAGCAGGAAAACAGGCTTGATCAGGTCAGGACTCTAATCCCATGGCTATCCAAGAGATAGCTATGTTGAAAGCAGAAATATTTTTGAGTATCTGCCCTTGCCAAGGCAGGACTCACTGCACTGTACTCGGTCCTGGCAGATGTTAATATACGCAGTACAAAAGCCTCCCTCCCAGGATGGATTCCACCAGTGCCCCAGGTAACATCCTCTGCTGGATCACGTCAGCAGGTTTTTTGCAATCTAAGTCTCTTCTGCTGAAATTTAAGGTCACTGCTGCTTCCTGTATTCATACCAGATGTGGAGAATGATTCCCAGCTCACTGCTTGCAATGGCCCTTTAACATATTTAAACGCTGTCCCAATGTCTTTTTCAGTCTCCTCTATAAACAAAATCCTTCCTCTCAGAAGTGTTTTCTAGAGTTTTCATTATTCTTGTGCTTTTTATCTAAACAAATCTGTTTATGAAGAGCTACAAGCTATTTAAATGTTCCTGTAATGGACCATACAGTACCCAAACCAGTACAGCAGACAAAGATTTTTTAAAGCAGAGCCCTTTCCTACAGCCTCTTTTCTCCCTTGGCCTCCTTTGATTTAATCCTAACACTCACTGTAAAAGTTTCTGCAGAAGCTCCCAAGGCAGTAACTTAGGTTATGTGAACATGAAGAGCTTGAACCCAAGCTGTAGTGCAGGAAATTCTACTCCTGCCTTTAGCTTGCACCTCATTCTGCAATATTGGAGCCTTGTTACTTGGAGTATAATCCCCTGAATGAGCAAAATCCCTGGCTACAGAAAGGATCTCTACTTACTCCAGCACTACAGCATCATATCCATGTGGGAATAGGTTGTACTGCTTGGGAAGGCCGCACCTGCAGCCCTGCCTTGGTCTTGGAAAGAAATTGAGTAGCTTCTTCCCCAAGTTTCTGAGTCAGAAATCAAATTCCCCAGAAGGGAATTTATTTTCTTTGGCTCTGTATTTTCTTGGCTAAGGCATTTCTAGGTTCTGTTGAAGGCAAAACATTGCAGTGCTGCAAACAGGACTTGGGCTCCTTTGGGAAAGAAAAACCTGAGCTCTTCAGATATTTCAGCTGCTCCTGAATATTTTGGCTGGGGTGGCTGAAGAGTTTTTTGCAAGCACTTCTACAATGATTACCTTGGAAGTCCATGTGCCCTTAAGCAAGCTCAAACTCCCATACTTAAAGTTACTCGGATGTTTTCCCCGCTCTTTCAGATCCGCCCTCTCCTGCAGGAACAGGGGAGGAAAACCAAGCCTACAACTTCTCCAATGTCCGCATCTCCTCGCATTAATCTTTTCACAGTTTCCCTGCTGCCTATCCATCAGTTTCTCCATCCCAAGGAGTTTGCACTTTTTCCTAATGGGTGGCTTACGTACTCTGTAAGCCTCAGCCAAGGAGCCACCTCCTTGCATGTGCAGCCAGCAGTAACAGGGATTCACTTCACTTCAGTCAGGCCAATCTCATCCAGCTCCTCTTTGCCCCACATCACCCTTCCTCCTTGCTCTATCCCAACAGAGACTGATTCAACCCACCTCATTAATTGCATTCTCATTCACCTCCTTTCTGTTTTTCTCTGCTTGGCAAATTAATGTGTGGATGACGATCAATAATCTATTCTTGTTTTTCATCCTGAAAGTTTACTGCCCATGAGTCTGAGAGTATCAGTTAGGCTGTTCAAGGAAAGACACTCAATATCCTCTTGGACATTTCCAAGACCCTAAAATGTTGTTACCCTACAGCAACAATAATCCGTTGAAGCACTGAGCTATCTCTGACCATCCTGTCTAGAATGCTAGATGAGAAGCAGTAGAGGCTTCTTTTTTGAAGAGCTACCACCTGCCTAAGGGAAAGGGCAAAGGGGAGGGTCGAGTAAAATACATTCCCACCCAGAAAGATGATAAAATCAGTCAAGAGAGTCCATTGCCTTAATAGCAATTTATTATAATTACAAATAACAACAGGCAGATTTGAATTCTTTTGTCTTAAAAATCTCATGTAACAAGCACATCATAGCTATGAACAGTTCTATAAAACCCATGGAAAATTGTATCCCCAAATTACACCACTCTGCCTCATCCTCTCAGATATCGATAGTGTGGATCACAAAACAACACTAAAGATTGTTCTATATGGTACTTGTGATAAGGGTTATCATGAGGTCCTAAAATGCTACAATCTTTTCTATAAGAGCTATGAAGTAAAACTTCAATTTTTCCCCTTTGTTAATACTGTTGGATCAAATATTTGACACACTTTTTGGCAAAGCCATGAGAACCTTTTAAGAACAGTATTTTTCCCCACATCTCTGCTGCTACAGTCTTGCACTTTACTGATATATTTTTTTCTGCCTGCAGGACACGGCCGCCCCATTCCATGGGTCCTGCCCTGCAACCAGCCATGTCTGCAGTGTTGCATGCACAACAGCAGGTATTTCTTCCAAATTCTGAGACTTGCACTCAGCTCTGCTTATTATACTTACCTTGAACACTTGCTATCAAAATAACTTGACAGGAAGACAAAATACCTGCATGGCCCTGCAGCTAGGACTAAGCTCCAGCCATACTGCCAGCATTATCCAAGAGAGCTAATTTACAGCCAGTTCAGAGTCGCTAAATGTGCACAGGCCAAGCACTGGCGGGCAGATGCATCCCTGTGATCAAAGACCATCTTGCATTACAGCTATTCACTCCATAAAGGTCTCCATGTGCAAACAGACACGTACTGGTGAAAAGCAGAGATGGTCCTAATTCTGTCAAGCACTTGGTGTGTTGAATTAAAGCTTACAATGCTCTTCAATACCCTAAATTAAGCAGAGGTATCAAGTTAAACCTTTCTGGCTGGCAGAAAGGAAGACATGAAGAAGGAAACAGAATACAGGATCTCTTTATATGTAGCTTGAACTTGAGTTCAGATACATGTAGCTTGAACTTGAGTTCAGATACAAAAGAGGGTCTGTTGTTCAGAAATTCCTTAGACAAATATTTCTCTGTGAACTTCTTGACATAGCACGTGAAATTAAAGAAGCTGAGTGAGGAAATCAGCAAGCAGCTTGTCAGTCAGCTTCAGATACATCTACATCCACTCAGGTTTTAGAAGGGCATGGGAAAAAAAAGTAAAAATCCAATTACAGGGTAAACATATGAGAGGTACTAGATCAAGAGATTTTATAGACAGACTCCAATAATAGCTCATGCTGTTCTCTAAGGAGACCCACAAGCTTCATTTAAGGAAAAAAGAGAGTGCTAAATTTACTCCATTAAAAATAATGGGGAATCTCTTGATAGAAATCATCACTTGGGGCAAAACTGCACAGTTCTGTCTGACCAACATCTTATATTACTATCTTCCTTTGTACATATATTTAATAGTTTATGAATATCCCACAGTTACTCAATACTATCATAGTGATCTTCAACTGAGGTAGTCACCAAATAATTATTAGTGATGCGAAAGCAAAAGGAAAATCTCAAGACAGACATTCAAGAACAGCTGTTTGCCAAAAGTAACAGAATTCACTTAAAAAAAGTCTTTCCCTCTCTATTCTCCCCCATCCTTGTCTCACTTCCTTTTTCTCTTCTTGTCCAACTCTAAAAACTAACTACAACAGCAGGGAAAAATTAGGCTTTCCAGTTCAGCTGTGACATGGCTTAGGATTCTCAATACTAAGTTTTTCAGATGCAGAATCACTGAATTCACTTTTAGATGAACGTCACGTTCAAAACACTGACTGCAGAAGACAATCTCCAGCACCAACCATAGAAGAGGCACCGGTCCCATTACCTTCCTGCACACGCCTCAGTACCATGAGCATAGGGAAAGACTTCTGTGTGTGTCCAATTGTATTTGCGAAAACATCCCTTTATCAATGAAAGTCGCTCCACATATTATGTAAACATACAAAGAATCCCCTTTCTAGTTACTGTCTTTCAAGTACTCGGGAAATTAAAGTAAAATGGCAAACACTATCTCTTTTCCCTAACTAAAAATACACAGATTGAGAATACTCTCAAGTTTTCTAGTGGCACAGAATTGGTATTAAAGAAATTATTTTCAAATTACTTCTGCAGTGATGATAGTTTATATTCAACTTCAATAGAAGAAAAACAAAAAAGAAAGTCAACATTAAGGATAACTAACACCCTGGCAGTTTTGAAAACATTTCCATGATTTTTTGTGGTCCCTTATCACAAGACTTTCCAAGATAATCCCCTCCACCCATCCCAAACCAACCAAGCAAATTAAATACCACCAATCCCAAACGAAAAAGAACAACAATACTCAAATCATTTAATCTCAGTATTGCAGAATTCATATTCAGGGTAAAATTCTGAATTGTCAATATCCAGTTCTGTCTACTTTTTCTTTAATCACTAACTGAAATCTGAGGGTTCTTTTCATCAGTACTTCAATGCAAATATAGAGGCGCACACTTAAATTTAGATATACTGCAATAACCTAAAGCAGCATAAAAATCAAAATGACATAACCCACTATCCTTCCCAAATAAACAAGCCTCAAGAGAAAAGCTCTGCTCCTATTTTAAAAACAGAGTACTAACCAGTCTGGTGTGCAGAATATTGGTTGTTTCTCCCTCTAGATCAAACGGCATATGTATATGCCAAAATATAAAATTGTATGAATTTCATGCAGCTGTATGTTCTGCAGTTCAAGGAACAATGAGGTGTTCTTCTAGATTTTCTGAAGCATAAACTGTGGATATCAGCAAACTGCAGGTGGGACCTGTGATGCGTTTTTTTCTTTGTTTTTTTCTTCCACAGAGAGCCCACCATAGGTGATTAGGTGATTTTATAACTGCACAGTGAAAAGTTCCTGAATTTCTTTAAACAGGTCTAGATTACCCAGACTGATTTTCTGCCAGAAGCCGTTTACTAGGGCTTCTTTTCCACAAACTAGACTCACCAGAGGAGGCTTTTTCTTCTTTGATTACATACAATTGCTTATCAGGTGTAAGCAGATGAAGGTAGTTTATTATGTTACAAAACTGACTTCATCATGACTAAAGCGTATGTAATATACAAACTGAGGATTCCAGTTAAGCATCACCACATATTAACCCTTCATATTTGCGTAAGATGATCAACTAGAAGCTATGGAATTGTAAATACTGAAACTGTAGGCGGGCACCCTGTCACGTCATACTTAGGTCATGGTTCTCTTTTTATAACCTTTTATAACCTTTACAGCCTCTGCATTTGGGTTGTTTTCATTCATTTCATCTATTCAGCCGCTGTGTCACCACTTCTCGGTACATAATAGAGATGTATATCAGCAGGAGGAAAATTACAAAGAAATCATCCAAAAAACCCAGAATCCCAAAAAGGGCTTCAGGAAGAAAATCCAGAGGCGAAGCCAGATAGAGCAAGGCTCCAAGCAAGCAGAGGAATATCCTGATACGAAACATCCAGAAGAGGCCCCCAACAGAAAACATCTCCCTGAAAGCATGCCGCAATAAAGTGGGTAGATCCATAATTCTTTCCATAATCTATGGAGAAAGAAAGAAAAAGTTAATATTTGCTTTAGCAAAAAACCTATGCTAAGTGCCCCCACACACACACTTTTTTTTTTTTTGTTTACAAGAGTAAGATAGAACTCTCTGGATTTAGTTTTTCTGTGTAAATATTTAAAGATTTAAAAATATGTGCATTTTCAAGCAACAGTCACAAGCTGTACTATTTTGTATAGTAAAAATATACATTTTAATCACCACAAAGAAAACATTAGTATCTATTACAAAATAAAAACGGTGACTATTAGAAGAAAATAATCACTGAGAAATTAAGAAACAGCAAACACAGTAATTGGGAGGAATACTGATCACAATGAAAGACACCTAGAGTTTCCTCGAAAAAAAAATGAGTCAAAGTAGTAGCAGACTGCAGTTCTTCAGAAACGACCCTTCCTCTCTATCACACAGAGAGTGATTCATACAGATTTCCAAAGGAAAGGTCAAGCTTTAAATAAAATTGATGAACCCTTAAATGCATCCTTTCCTGGTTCCTTTCCATCACTTGAAAATGATTCTGCCATCTCACTGATGGACTGCTCAGTGAGGGAAATAGCAAGATTTTTGAGGTAGGGTGAACTTTTTCACCTGAAGGTAAATTTCCCTGAGTAGGAACTTTTTTTTCCTAATTTACACAGTTATAAAATTAAAGGGAACTATGGTCAAGGCTGAAATACTTCCCTAGAAAGGAAGGTTAGCAGTGGTTAAGGCAATAGGCTGCATGCTCAGATCAAGAGCAGGTTAACTCGTCCACTTCAGGGCTCTCAGACACTATTTTGGATCCAAAGCATTCAAGTTTTGTGCTCAGAAAACGAAACAATGAAATTCAATTTCTCACTTCTTTTCTATCTCTTTGTGCCGCAGATTTTTCGTGGTAATGTGTATTACTATGGTCAAATCCATAGATACAGACGAGCAGACTCTGAGTAAAGTTAATGTTATCCACCTGTACACATTTCACTTTGTGAGTCAGGACACACACGTAAAAGACAAGCTCACAATGCTGATTTTCTCAAGTTCATAGAACTTCTACTATATCCTTTCACTATATATCAAAATAATAATAATAAAAATAGTTTTCAGACTCTAGTTCAGAAAACTTTCAATTTTCTCACAGAGCAAAATAGTGTATTATAACCTATCAGAAAAACACAACAAACAAACAAAAAAATCAAGAGCACAGCTTGAAATACAAGAGGAAAGGCACAGAATACAACTCAAGTCTATTCTTTTCATTAGCATAAAGAAGTAAGTCCAGAAAAGGTTCTTTCCTATAGCTCATATTCAGTATTTTTATTGGCTAATTATAGATCCTTTCCATTTAATGAGTTCATGATTTAAAAAGTGCTTAACAGATAGGTTACTCAAGGCATATTAGCACCTTTCAGATACAATAGAAATAAAAGGTTCTATATTGAAAAATTAAAAATAATTGTATTCTTGTATTTTAAGTCTGCCTTAACTATATGAGCATGAATTTCCACGGGAAAGCATGCACAGCTTCTACACATTACGAATAAAAAATGAAAATTTCAGGAAAGAAAAAGGTCACAAAAAATACTAATAATCTTCCCTGAAATCACTGACCTCCACCCAAATTCTACCACAACTTACGGATCTGGGCTGTCCTGAGAATCTCCGATTGTAATCATTAACATCCTGAAGCACTTGGGCTGCATCCTGCTGATCTTCACTAAATAGTGGTAAAAACAATGTTACCTAGGCACAGCAAGAAGATTTAGTTAATGTGCGACCAGTTTTAAATATGCAGATACTGTGAATTATAAATGAAACAGCAGTAATTTTCAGTTAGCTACACAGAGCAAACTCTCTGTTGAACATGAATAGTAATATGAAATGAAAAACATTAACATAAAATACTTGGGTACTATTTCTAAGGATCAACAAGGATGATGGTTAAAATTCTTTAAAGAATATTAATGAATTTTTAAGAAGATTGCTGCAAACCAGTGTAAGAACTTTATTTGTCAGGGAGACTTACAGGACAATTTTCAAGACACAAATAATTTCTATTGCAGAAGTGCATTAGACTTACGATAATAAAGGTGATTTAGCAAGTCAGTCTGGTTTTATTTCTTAAACTCAGAATCAAATAAGCCTCTTAATAAGGCCATTCTTCCTCCCTCTTTAGGAGGATGCTGCACACCGGCAAACAAGCAGCAAAACTTGCCTTATGTGGGCATTCATACCAAGACGGAGGAGAATAACACAAGTTGCCAGAAAGAGATAATAGCCTTTAGCTCTTTTGTGAGAGCAGCAAATTTTTCTCTTTATCTGTCTGCATGGGAGTTTCTGAAAACACAAGGCTTGTATTTGGAAGTGATGTTCAGCCAGAAAATCCAGATTATCATAAGAAACAGAAAAATAATTTTTTTAAAAAATGTGCCCCACCCAAATTATTTATTAATCAAAATAATAATGAAAATCTATAGAAAGATGTGAAAACAATGTTATTTTCTGCTTCTCCATTCTCCCTGCCTCTATTTTTGTGCCTCTCTCCTCCTGGCTACACTGTAACCACTCATTCTTGTTCTAGCCATACCTGTTTTTCTTTCTTTCATCTGTCTTATATCCACTTGAACTGCTGATTCATAGTCAAACTTGGGTGCAGTGCACAGGCAGTGGTATTAAATATGTAAATAACTTCTGACGAATTATATAAGGCTCTAATTTTTGTACTGTTACAATACAGATGTGAACTCTTATTATGAAACAGACTGTGCGACTTCAAGAGCCTAAGTGTTAATGAATTGAAGGGATATATTTCAAAGTGACAGTGTAAGTATGCTGTGTAGGAAGGAAGCAAGTACTTGGAAGCTCTACAAAGCTTCCAATTAGCAATACATATGAACTATAAATAAGACAAAAATAAGAAATAACTATGAACACTTTTTTTGGTAGGGAAAGAAGGAAAGGATTTCTTAGAAATTGACAGCATTTTGTCTACTGCAATCTTCTAAGAATTAGGTCTTTCATATACATGTTCTAATAAAGCAGCAAGTTATATGTATTTCAGAAAGACAGCATGAAAGACCTTAGTAAGTTAAGTTTCTCTTTCCATATATACTATTTCAGAAAAATACTTAAATTATCAATGCTATTTATGAGTTGTAGGAACAGTCTTGCTGACTTTAGCTGAGTCAGTTGGCATGTAACATGCACAGTATACACTTCACATATCCATAATTGTTCAGCTTCTCAGATTTCTTCTGTTACTTTAACTACTGCAGTACATCCTGCTTTTCTGTTTAGCCACACTACATATCCATACATCAAACCCATGATTACTTCAAATATTACCGTTTGCCTGCAGATTGGGCAACGGATGGCACCAAGCCATGAGCCATACCTCCAGTATGCAATAATGCAGGAACCTGTTGAAACATTTTAAATATTTAAATATATAATCATTTTATCAGTTTAAAATTTTAGCTAAGAAAATCACAGAAATCACACAAAAAAAGTATTGTTAAATTTGATAGTAAAGTCAATTTATTTTAGATTAATTTAACAATACTTTTTTTGTGATTTCTGTCTCAACAAGATCCACAATAAAACAGCACACTGTCACACATTACAACAAATATATTTTCTCAGCAAGTTATATTGAAAATGATTTCTAATGTGGACCAGAGCTGACTATAAGCAGCTAAAATTGAACAAAGCCTTACATTATGGTAACAGTACTTGTGCTGGTGTTCTTCCTGTATGTGTCTATATATACTACTTACCACAGAAGAGATGTCCACAGTTTGTTTCAATAGGAAATGTAGCCTGTTGCAAACAGACTGGGCAGGACATATCAGTATAGAAACGATGTCTATCACCAGCAGATGCATCCTGCTGTGGCAGAAGAGAGACGGGAAATGTTTGAGACTATCCTTTACAGGACAAGTCTATCTGAACTGAAAAAATAAATAGGCCTACGTGTTCATTAACTAGAAGTCTCACACTCAAATACCAAATTATATTCAATGAAATATATTTGAAATCAAAAATTAAATATCCTTAAATGCAAATATTGATTCACTAGGCAAGTTCTTTCTATGATAAACATATTAATTTCTCTGTTTTACACAGTATGTTCTTCATTCCAATTAGGGAACACAAAGGAAGAACTTGCTTGCATCTACACATTAACTGAGATCCATTAGGTCAGATACACTGCAGAATTTATAACAACTCAGTACTTCATAATCCTAAGTAAATCTGTTCAGAACCAAGTAATGCATCTACATCATTTACCAATAGCTGTATTTACATTCTCCACCCCAAACACAGATGTAGGTTTGTGTGTCTCCTACTAGCAATCTGAGGTGTTGTACGATTTGCTTTTAATTTTAACAGTGACAGCTATCTCAGATTACTGCCAACTCCTTCCATCATCTTGTCAGTAGAAAAGAAACAATAAATCCATATAGACACACAGAGCGCTGCTATCTGGGCAGGTGTCTGTTCTAACTGCTAAGCTATGCTTGGTCTAGCTTCCCATGTACAAAACAACTGTGGGTTTTTTTTGAAGCCCTGATTTATTTTGCCACCATGGAACGTTCTTCCCTGATTCTGCCATGCTTTTCCCCTACACTAGGGGAGATTATAGTCGGCAATCTGCTATTATTTCAAGAAGTTTTGTGATAGAAGAGTCTCCACGATAGATTTCCAAAAATGTATGGCTTCTCTCAGGCCTGGGCTAGGGCTCAGCAATTTCTAGCAAACCGGCCTACTCTCTCCCAATCTCTCCTCTGCAAGCAAGAACTGGGTGAAATACATCTTGCCTGTCCCTGTCTGCTGTGCCATTTTTCTACTACACATTATTTATCAGTTTAAATATCTGACCCCTGCCTGGTGGCAGCAAGCTGTACTCCAGATTTGCTTTTCTTCACCACTAAACAACCAGAAACAGCGCAGGAAGCACATAATGTAGCGTAGTGTACTCCACCGTGTGGTGAAAACTGGTTTGAAAAAAGAACCAGAGAAATCCTTATTTTTAATGACTTGATTTATACATAAAAAAGCATGGGTCATCTCACTCCTTCATAAATTTTAAGGTTGACTCTGTACAGTTAGCATGCTTCCTTAGGCTCATCACTTTCAAGGCTAGTTCCTTCCAGAACCTCCAAAGAGAAGCCCAACCTGTCCAGCATTTAACACAGCACCTGCTCCGTTTGAAGCTGTTGACGAAGAGCTCGCACTAGCTCTTGATTTTCTGGGTGTATGTTCTGATGCTCATTTCTGTGAAAGAAAATATAAGAAATGAGAAAAACTGAACTCTGAGACTCAGCGCTGAAAAATAACTGACTAAACAAAATGAAACTTGAAACAAAGGGGGAAAAATTGTGCTTTCCTGCTATAAAGAATTTTAAAGGAAGTACACATAATAAGGGAAACAACACATTCATCGTACATTCTAAAGTTACCAAAGACTTTTTAAGCTGTACAACAGCAGAACTTTTTTTTTTCCTAAAAAAGCCTCTATAACTTTAAAGTCACGTTAAAACCACAGTTTTGTCTGAAATAAAATTAAGTCATTGAAATCTCTCAGTCACTCAGAAATATTTTTAATTTTTGCATTGTTTGCTCATGTATTTTTTTTAATTATTATTATTCACTATGTAAGTTAGTACTACAATGTTGAAATATCTTAATTATCTCAGTGTAATTTGCCACATGAAAAATAAAGACATAACATTTGCATTGGAAGGAGAAAAGGAAAATTCTTAGTCTTATAATGTTGCCTTTATGTAACTACCAGCAGACAAGATATAAAAAGAAATCAGTGCAGACTAGCTGCAAGAAAAATACAGGTTAGAGATATCACGACAAAAAGGAATGAGAGAAAAGTGATTCATGGAAGAAAAGAATCTGGATATATTAAATTCCAAAATTCAGAAGCATAATGGGCAACAGAATTGGAATTAGAAATGATGCTGACAAGTTTAAAAAATATTGTGTTAAACAAAATATGAATCAACAACATCATGTTGTTCCAAAAAAGCATATCTGTATTCTGTATTTATATGCACGGCTTTTCCTGGTGATATGTTTTGCTCAACACTGTTGAAGTCTCAGCTGTATTCTGCTTTCCACTTCGGTCTAAATGGATAAAAACATGTTCAGAAGCTGGTGAAAGTTCAGAAGAGAACACTAAGACCACTGGCCATATTTTTAAAACATTAAAGAGAAAAACTGAAGAACTGAGGTCTGAAGAGAAGATGGCTTATGGATAAAAAAAGGAGACTGGATTAAGGTTTCTACTTAATTCAGTAATTCTGGATAATTGTTTACGATAAGTTACTTAAGGGCAATGAAAAGAAATTTTTAATTGCTAAGTGTAGAAAACTCCACGGAGATTACCTCAGGGTACTGCGGGCTATCTTTGGTTGAAAGTTAAATTCCAAAACAGGTTAAGCTCCTTCCAGGGATTGTCTAGGAGCCTGATCCTGTCAGAGCTGTGGGCTGGACAGATTAATTTTTAGGATTCTTCTGGCTGCAGTGTTACTCACGATTTCCCCACAGAAGTTTCTATAATTTTTGCATCATGTGGTATAGTCAATCATAAAACTGCATTACTGCCATCTTTAATACTGTATCCTCTTTATTCTTTCTTAAATGAAGAATGGACAAAAGCATATTTTCATGCTAAGAGCTGCACGATTATCCATAAAACATAAGTTTATTTAACAATAATATGGGTCACATATATGAAAATTATATGATGGGAAGCTTATCTTAAAATTGAGTCAGATTTTGTGAATGGTTTGACATACATGATACATATATGATACAATTATATCATTTTTCCTTGTTTATATTCTAGAAGTTGGCATATTTTACACCTTCATTTTGTCAAAAATCTGATGTATACTGAAATTGGATTCAAATCACACACAATTCAAAGGTATGAATTATAAGCCATTTTATTCTCATCCGTTCCTAAACAACTAATTTTGAATTTCTACTTCACCGTTATCCAATAAAAAAACTATGTTAAGCAAAAATGAATCTTCAGTTATTAAAAGTGAAAGAGACACAGAAAAAACTACCCAGACCATATTAGAATAACTTCCTTCTACAAATACTTCATATACATGGTGTTAGTTTGGTATCATGCACTGTGCTAAACAGACAAGATTATTTGCAGAGCTACAGAAGTTCAGCATCTGTTATTTATGCCTAAGCTGTTTATGTAACAAAGCACTGCACCATGTCTGGAAGGGGACAGGTAAAGTTTAAAATATATTCCATTCCCTTGTGAAATTAGTATAAGGAAATATTTCGAAATAAATGAGACATAGCATGTACCTATGTACTTACAGGCACTACCACACGCAAATCAGAAGGAAAAAGCTAGATGTATACTCTCTTCATTTCCTAATTATTGAGTATTAGTGCTGTACAACAGGAACTGTCATTACCAAAAATAATTAGGCTGCCTGTACTCAATGTGCAGTGGAGGAACAGCGCTTACAGGATCACTGCAACACCATTGTTATTGTTATTCCCCAGACTTAAAATCTCAGCTCTCCTGAAAATGCTGAGTTGATTTTACAGTAAATCCATATGATGGCATAGATTAATGAGAGAAAAACATCTAATGCCACAGACTTATAAGAATGGGTTAGGTAAGTCTTCTGGGGCAAGCAGGGCATCTCTGACATATCACAGAAAAGGGTAAGTATTACACTCTTTAGCTTGCTGGATAAATTAAGATTTCAATTTGTAATGTGATCCTTTATTGACAAGTTTAAGAGATGATAGCAGAAATCTGTCTGCATCTTTTTTAGAAATTACTACTCAAAGACATGCAAGCTTAACAAAAGTCTGACAGTGACTAAATGAAATAGCTGCGTCTTAGTGGAGATGTTGGTCATTTTTAATAGTTCCTTCATGAAAAGCAGAGAGAGACCATTAGCTCATGCCCTGATGTGAGGCTTCAGTGAGTTCTCTCTGCTAGAAACAAGCACAGAAACCATATACCTTAACAGTTCTTTTCAGACTCCACTTCTGCCCCAAAAGGTACTTGTCCTTCTCTAAGTCCTTTTCATTCAAATGCTATAATCTTATGCATTCTATTATGTCTACTTTCTGGTATTTGTACCCAGAGACTGTTGTTACTCAATTTAAGTTATTTCAGATGTTACAAGTAGAAACACGGAGGGCAAAGAGGCTACGATAATGTACACAGGATAGGAGCACACAGAGAACTGTACTACCAAAAATAAACAGTAATGAAAATTCCTTGCTTTTCTTCCCTGTCTCCCCTTCAGTGTCAAATAAATAAGGAATAACTACTTTACAGATTTTAACAGATGATAAATATATTGGGAGGCATGGAAAAAATGCTACTGAATAGGGACAATTTTAGGAGATACTGGAGATGACAACAGAGCTTCGATAAGATGCTGCTAGGTCTCTGAGAAGTGATTCATGCTAGGCACAGGACAACTAGCTTCAAGACAGTCTCAGGTAGAGAACTCTACGTTCCAGGTTTGCTCATCCGTAAACTATTCAGGTGCATAACAGGATCAACAATCTCTTTATTTAGTTCATTCCACTACACAAATAGGAAGAAGCTATTTTCCTTCCCCAAGTAACGCTCCATCCTTGTTGCTTCATATAATTAATATCAAGTCCAATACCATTATTACTAACCACTGCTTGTTCCATTCACTCATTTTCATAATTCTAATTTGTCTCCCTTTGTAAAATTCAGAATATTTCATAATTACATGTAACCACGCGTTAATTTTAAAACAAAGCATTTGCTATTTAAATACACACTTAAAAATTCAGGTTACAAATGCGAATATAAGGACTAGAGGAAGCATGAGGAAGCAAAGGTGACTGAGGAAAGGGAGACACTCTTGGAGGCATCTGAACGACTGAAATAGTCTTGGCAAGAAAAGCAAGCTGAAGTGTATTCACTTCTCCGAGATTTCTTTGCTATAACAGAAATTGCTCTCTTCTCCATTTCATCTCCTGCCTCAGAGCAGCAGCACTACCTTCCAGTCTTGCTTCCAGTCTAAGCTTTCCTGCTTCTGCTTTCTTTCATAGCTTAGTCTCCACATATTCCCCTATAATCATCTCATATGGAATTTATGGAAGATAATCTACCAACAAAGACAACAGTTCACTAAAATCAAATTTTCTTGGTTTTTAAAACTCATCTATGCCTAGAAGTGTACAAACTTTCAGAAAACCAGGCCTAATTTCTCAGAAAGGTACAGATAATTATAGATTTACTTTCTCAAAAATGCATTGACTAACACACTCATTAGGTCTCAAGAAAAAAAAACTCTGAAAATACCGATAAGTTTTTTCAACTCTGCATTTAATATTTTTCTCTGTGGAAATGGTATCACAGTCCACTATTTTCCAAGCATCCTCATTTAGAAACAAATCAGTCAATCTTTTCATTTTTTAGTTTTTTCTTCTTTTTTTCCTTTCCTTTCCTTTTTATAAGGAGATTGCAGATAGGATATGCAGTGGCAGACTGCATCAAACCTTAGTTACTCAGTCATTACTCAGAAATATGTACTTAATAAGGAAATATGACATCAGCCATGCATATTGCAAATTAAATCATTTTCAGTCTTGAGGAATGATAGAGATCGTTCAATTGGCTCATGTAAATAATACATGAAGGAGGTTGGCATCACTTTTGGAAAATGCATCATTTCATTCTTATTGTAAATTAAATTAAATCTTCCAGAGCACTAGTTAAAAGTGATTGAACAATGATTTACTTAAAGTCATAAAACCACAGCTGTTGTACACTAACGCAAGTATTTATCGGAAAAGTTAGTATGTTAGAAACTGAGGTATGTTGATCAATTCATATCAACATATTCTCACCTTAAAAGGGTATATACCAGAGCAGCAATGAAAGTGAAACTGAGCACAACTGCCACCAGTACCTGGTCACTTATTCCTTCTATAAATGAATCATTATCTAGCTTCAAATTCTGAACTTCTGCTTGATGACTGGCCATCCCAGCTCTAAAATGTAAAAAGAAATATATACACACATATGTATACTTATATAATTGTATATATATGCACACAGACTTTATGGATACAAAAAACTTTATATACACATATATTCATATACACAATAAATTATTGAGGTTCAGATCAGTCTTTGCTTGGGGTTCAAAAATGATAAAGTATATTTGTGTTTTAAAGAATGGTATTTACAGGAATCATGCCATGCGTTTTATATTGTCTGCCTTTTCCATACATTTTACTTCCATCAGCTGGAAACATAAGAAAAGTTTGAAAGAAATGGAATATTTTCAGCTTTGCAAAGCTAAGCAAAATGATATGCAACACATTTCTAAATTGTTCCTGTTGCAATCAGGAAACAAAATGAACGACAGCTGTGAATGTTATGAAAGAAGGAGAAATAAACTGACTTTTGGAAGAAGATAATAAAAACTGTCATATTGAACCTGTGTCCATACACAATTGAGGTATTTGTCCTACAACACTGACATAAAATATCAGCATGAGCCTTTACAGTGAGGTAAGACGGGTATCATCTATTTCCTGCTCCTCTCTGGGCCTTTCATCAGTGTTCCTCTCCACTTCACAGCTCACACTTCATGTTTGAATTTAAACCTTGCTATCTAGTAAAAATCAACATAGAAGACAACACCTGACCTTCAATAAGTGTTAAACAGACAGAATACAAGCCATGAGAATTGTAATGCAAACTGGTAATGAACTACCCGAGCACGATCCTAACTAGCATGTCCATCTGCTGTTCTTACTTTAAAAAATGACATGTTTTTCACAATACAGATGCACTTACTTTTCTTGTACCAGTTGAGGGGCTTTTTCTAGGCTTTGTGGAAGCCACTCTGTACATTAGTAATCAAAAAGAAGCTTACATATTCTGATAGTATTGTAAAAGGTTAGGTGCTATCATTAAGCACCACAAGAACAGACAAAACTTACTGGGAATGAATGGAATATTCCTCTCACTGTTCTTATATTTTAGGGCTTCCACTGTGAAAATCAGAATGAAATAATGAAGCCTACATGAAGTGACATAATAAATGAGGGTACACCAACATGTGTTTCAACCTCAGCTGAGATTAATATTTTTGTGACTATAGTCATAATTTTCACTAAATACAGCTTTCCACAAGCAACAGTGCCATAGTCTATTGTCTATTGTCATAGTCTATTGATGATTAATATTTGGAAAGAGTACTTTTCCCCAAACATGGGAGACCAGTGACTCATCAAGAATCACAATTAAACTAGGTCAAAATAAAAATTGATTTAATATATACTAATGAACAAAAGGCACCAGACTTTGTTTCATACAGAAAATGTCATTCTGGGGCACCAATTTTCTGGAGTAAATTTGTTATATCACACTGTGATCCCATTCTGTATGAACTACAGGTAAATGCCAAGAAAGTGACAGCTGATATCACACCTGAGAGCTGCATCAGCTCTGATACATAGAACAGACCATACATTTGCCTTCATTTCTACTCATACACTCTTCCTGGAATACTGAAAAGTGGTGCTAAGGTCAGTAGCAGCAGAAAAGGAAACCAAAAATACACAGATTCTCACTCCCTCCCTGCAAAACTCCATTTTTTTCTTCCTTGTGTCTATTTACCACAGAAGTTCTGTCAAAAGAAGCTACTGCACAATGTTTCTAGTTACACATAAGGTCACTCCGCCAAACACTGTATCTTTACTAATATGGCAATACTAGGAAGACTAGTTGTGCTTAAGGCTCAAGCTGTCTGCTTTAAATTATTTGGCTCTGCACAGCAAGTGAGTGCTCAATATATTCCCTCCACTACCTTAAGACAGCTCCTTCCACAGCTCCGAGTCAGCTCCTTCCACAGTAAGGCTGACATAAGCTGTGTAGACTGGGAACTAAAAACAAATGCTTTTCTGATCAAAATAAAATCAATACAGGCTTTCTCAGCGAAGTCATTAAATCTCTGTAAAGGCAGGAACCTTTCTTATCTTCACTTATTCTTTACCTATTCTTATCTCTGTCACAATGTGAAGAAGCAATGGCTCCAGAAAGCACCTCACAGAAATACACTAATTTGATTTCTTCTCACTAAAAGAGGATTTCTTTTTTATCTCAAGATTGTTTAGAACATTTTCCAAAAAATATTTAAGCTGCAAATTTCCTTATTTCTTCAGATGCAACCAGAACAGCTTTGGAATATATGTTTAGTTATCAGAATGCATACAGCATTCAACAGCAACAGCATACAGCAACAGTCCTAAAATAAACTGCTCAGGAGTGTTAATAAACCCTGTCTTTCAGGGTACAGATTTATCAACTGCGCTCTTTAAGCCGGTACTATTAACCACAGGCTGCAGGAGATTTAGTCTTAAGTGATGTAAGGAAGACTTTCAGTTCAACTAGAACCCACAAGGACTTCCCACTTCGCACTTGTCAGGAAAGGCTTTAAGAATCAGACTCTAATGGAGACACTTAATCTCTCCTAAAATAGTAACTAATAGCAACTGATTTGATGTCATTCAAGATAAAATTGATTAAATTTGTATTAAATTATTTTCTTTAACCTTTATCTCACTCCATTACACTTAGTTGGCTATGGAAAAGTATTTCCTCAACCTTCACTGCATAAAAACACTTTTTAAAAATTAACTATCTATACTACATTTTTCAGTCACTACACAATTCAAGTTTTTCTTCCTTCTCTATAGACTTAGGCTACCATTTTGTTTCTCCTTATCATTATTCTCTGCAAAGGTTTGAATTTTTAATATTCTACCTAATTTCATCAAAAAAAAAATCTCATCACAACTTTTGAGAAAAGTGACAAATTAATAGTGTGATTATAAGTGGAAAAAAATAATAATTGAAAATAGATTGAATTGTGAGAAGCTTTTCTTTTAATATTTAGGACTTTTCTCCTCTTTCCAGACATTTAACTGGGAAGCAGGTTTCTTAAATGAAAGCATAAGCTGACCTTGCTTTCTAAGTAAAGAATGAAAAGCAGTTCCCATTAAAACAGTACTCCCAACAAAATTACAAGAGTTGTACAATCAGCTTTGGAATGTTAAAAAGTACATTTCAATTGCATTTTGTTTCTTACTATTTTCTAATGACGAAAACACTGGGTCTTCTTCCCACAATAAAAGTAACAACAAAACACAATCCAGTTTTCAATTTTAGTTCATATTCAAGCAGTCACTTGCTTGAAATAGAACTGCTCAGTGGGAAAAAAAGGACCTTTAGGTCTAACTGAATTGGACTCTGTGGCACAGTGCTTAGAGTGGGATCGTGCTAATTGTATCAGGATTCCTGATGATTACAGAATGTAAATATCCCCAAACAGTCTGCCTTGGTCCCAGAATGCTTGGAAGCAGAAAGGAATGCAGTTTAGATTTGTAAAACCATCCAGTCTCGATTGTAAAAACCATTTCAAACACACCTGAAAACAAAACCATCTCACTTGCCCATCATTTTTCTGAGAGTGATTACTGACAGAAATCTAAACTTATTTGTTCATATGTGAAAACAAGAATTTAAAAGGCTTAGAGGTAGATACCCTTTCATCACACCAAGTAAGCATAAAAAAATCACCACAGTTGCATGCAAGTTTATACGAAAAAAAAAAAAGCAGAACCATAAGAAGCAGTATCTTGATTACAACAAAGCCTTTCATTCTAGAAAAAAAACTAGAGACCACATTGTAAATAGAATGGAGACACACACTATTAGAGACACATTAACTCTTCATTTTTTTTCAGGTTTGCATACTGTTATGAAGACTCTCCACATACTTCATATAGTTGCAACAATTCCCCACATCATGGCTTACACAGAAACAACAATAAAGCCGATGTTAGCTACAATGTATTAAATATTTGTTGCTAGCTTGCCAAATTTAGAATAGCTCCTTTTCTGTAGGATTTGACCTTTAGCAAGTTCACAGGGGAGGCAACTAATGCTAATGTACTCCAAGAAAGGTTGGAATTTCAGGACCCACTACTGAAGCAATGTGTAAGCATGGGTGAAAAACAAAGTCATTTCTAAGAGGCTTAGTATCTAAGCAATAAAGTGAGAAATAACATACAAGCAGTACCGCTGAGGAATATGAATGAGTAACTAACAGCAATTCTTGAACATTTTATTGAATTTGAGGTCAGGGTACAATTTGCCCAACAGCTTAAAGACATACTGACAATAATGTGTCCTCTCCATATTGGACTGGGACTGAATGGGATAACAACTACCTTTCCACTGCATTTTTATTCCTGGCATTTTTCACTTCGTGTAGCACTGGTGATGAACCTCTTCACTTTAAAAATACATTTAGAAAAAGGAAGAGTGTAGCAACAAGGCCAGGTACAAGTCAACACCTGTAATACCATTTGCCTGGTGTCTTTTATTAGCAGAAACATTATTCTCCTCCCTTATACACCTTACTTGCATAAATTGTGTCATCCAAAATAAATTAATTCCATTCTGAATATTATAGTACTATTGAGAAAGGACAATAAAATGAAACCACTGAAAAAGTATTGAATACTCTGAAAGATTAGACTATGATTCTTATTTTTTAAGACTACAAACCACAGGAAAGCTTTAACTCCTCAGAATTTTCTTCTATAGTAAATGGAGCCAAAATAAGTTGATTTTCACTTGCATATATAGGTTTCTAATAAGATTAACCTGTTTTAGATAGCAGAGGTGAACCTCTGGCTAGCAATTTAAGCATACCAAAATGGAGCCTATTTACTCTGAAATCCACCCTCACACGCATATTTGTTTCTGCTGACATACCAAAAGCAAGAATTCAGGGGGGTTGGTTTCACTTTAGAGAAAAACAGAGCGAGATCGCTGCAACTAAGAAAAATTCTTAAAGTTTGGAAATAATCGACATTACATGAAAAATCACTATTTACTTCCTAATTTATAGTACTGGCCACTCTCAGTGATTGAGAATGGGGTTTGATAACGGGTTTGTTCCTGTGAGCTGGATCTCGGGAGTTATTTTTCATCTTTCACTCACAACCAAAGGTATACTGCACTCAGAAAGTGGACCAACAGCAAACTTTAAATGTGATAACAATACATGCACAGCTCTGAAGACTTCACTAGCCCAAACTAAACCCTGAGATATCATATTTTACATTGGTACTTTAAAGTTGGCATACTAAACTGGACTTTGAAATAACAATGTACATACACATAAGAAGGCAGAAATAAGAGAACTGACAGATGGTGTCTTCAGAAAACATGATTTTGGAGAAGCATGATTTACTACTTTTTCATTTTTGCGAATATAATCTCATTAAAATAAAGAACACATAATAACCTCTAGCATTAAGTAACTCTGTAACTTGTTAAAACCAGCATGAGACAAGCCTAAGCACTCAAGTACAAAAAAAAAAAAAAAAAAAAATCAAATAAAGAACATATAAACATACAAACATGACAAGATACATTCTGTAGGAAGATTAAAACAGAAGTGGGGAGTATCTCACCCGTTTATGCAGCAGTTGTTAATACTTACGAGTAAACAGCTACTCTGCAGTCACAAATAAGCTCAGCTGGTAGAGCAAAATTAGGCTAGACTCAGTTGTGCCTATTCTGTTCTCACCATAAACTCTGAGTTTAGGATACCACTGAGTACATTAGGTACATATATGCTCTATTAATAAGAGAAAAAATAAACAGCTAACAATGTTGGTAGCTTTCTTAAAAAGCCAAGATGGGGGAACTGGGTACTTTTAGTAGAGAAATAATAGTTTTCTTCAATGTATTTTAAGAATTAACCAATCAAGGCACTTGCCTGGTGAAGCAGTTTTCTGCAAGGTCTGAGGTCAGTAGCCTCTCAGGAACATTTTTTCCTAGAAAGAGGAAGAAAGAGGTAGGTATTCCATCCTTGTTGGTGAGGAATGATGCCTTGCAAGTTAAAAACAGCAAAATCCAGTATCTATTTCTAAAGGATACAAGTCTCTTTTTCCTCAGATACCCCCTTATCCCATAAGACAAATACTACCACGTTCCAACATCATTCTACTGGGAACCCACACCCAAAAAAGTGTCCCATTATGGGCCAGAAGCTATGTTGATTACTTGAAGTAAAAAAACGAATACAATGATCTGTACGGTGTTACTACCTGCAACATCTGACTTGACAACACATGACCCATATAAAATGGTTGCTAAAAAAGCCTTCCACTATTTCACATGAATAAAAAATAGAGAAATGAATGGAGTTCTCGGAGACATAAAAGGGGAGAATTAAAGTCCTGTGCAGACAGGGACACTGGGAAGAGCCTGACAGTACTTTCAGTTTGGATAAAGTGCTCTCCTAAGCAGACAAGAAGGGAAAGAAAGATTTCACTTAATGATAAAAAATATTTACTGATATATGATAATATTTCAGCTAATACAGGAAGAATCTTTAAACTTTTTGTAAGAAAAGTGCCTAGCAACTGCTAGCAACTGCTTATCGCACAATGCATTTTCCCCCATTTAACTGTGCAGGTAGAATGCAAAACAACAAAATATACTGCAATTGTTTATATCAACAAAACACATAAGGAATGTATGTGACAATGGACGATGTGGAAAACAGGTAAGTAAACATATATCTAACATAAAACCTTAAAATTTTGCAGCATACTCCTGAAAGCATTCTTTGTTATAAGTACCAAGCATTTAAAATACACATTAAAAATCAGAAAAAAAAGACTTTTAATTGTAGGACACAAATAGTTTTCCAAGGCTTTTTAACTTTTTCTGAAATTGATTCTTGCCCTTAAATGGCAAGATGCTGACTTCAAAACTTGAAAATGAAAATGGCTGGTTATGTTATGACATCAGTAAGAAAAAACTTTACTGAAAAAGCTTGAGAATTTTCACAAGTCTTGCAATAAACTCAGTTCAAACAGGTTGGCAGATGGGAATACCAAGATTTTGTTCACGTTACCAGCTCATCTAATGCCAAAATCATGAGAAACAAGGATCCAAGTGACATTACTAGATGTGCAACGCTTGCTTGCACAAGCCTCATGGTTGCTGCTTGTGCATGCTATTCCACGAGACCACATGCCAGCCCGGTGACTAATCCACAGGGCTCTGTATAACTTAACATTTGAGATCCTCACTAGAAGTTCCAGCTGTGGAAAAACTCGGCTGTCGGCTGAAAAGGAGAGCAATGATCCCTTCAGGCAACCCCTTCCCTGCCTAGCGTGGACATGGAAGGAGGGAGGCAGAACCACGCTGGACAGGGAGCAAACTCCTCTCGGGGGTGAACGGGAATGGAGCTATCTACAACTAACGCGATTTATTAGACGGGCTTTTTATTGTGGCAAAACTTTGAGACAAGGGAGTTAAGGAAAAAAATAATAATAATTAAAAAAAAAAGAGGCGGGGAGCAGGAGATAGTGGAGAGTAATCTGCTCAGTCGTCAGCATACTACGGGCTGCGGAGAGGGGGGGGAAAAAGAAAGAAGTGAAAAATAAGAGATAAGGGGGAGGAGGCAGCACGGCGCCCGTGCTCTGCAAGCAGCGCGCCCAGGCCGCGGGAGCGCGGCCGTTAACGGCTCCCGCGCGGCCGTTAGCGGCTCCCGCGCAGAGCGGCGCGGGGAGGGGCTCGGCCGCGGGAGGGGGGAGCTCGGCCG